TATTTTCTAATTTCAATAATGATGTTCATTTAAAATACAATTTATTTGTTTTTGACGTTATGTAATTTATAAATTGATGTTATTATCATTTAAAGTTATTGTTCTTTAGTTTTAAACCACCTATTATTATTAATAAGTTAAAGAAGACTTTTAAGAAACTCTTAATATTACTATTAAAGTGTTAAACATACACTAAATAATAAACTGATAAGATAGACAATTTACATTTCAAAAGAGATTTGCATTGATAATATGACATATCCATGATTTTTATAATTTGATTTTATTATTTATAATTATGGTTCATTGGTTTTAAAACCACTTATTATTATTATTAATAAACGAAAGAAAACTTTTAAAAGACACTTTTTATTATAATTAAATGTTAACATATACTAAAATATAAGTGATAAGATAGACAATTTACATTTTAAAGAGACTTACATGGATATTATGTATAATATTGCATATCCATGATTTTTTATTAATTATTACTTTGAAGGAACAAAAACATACAAACATATATACAATATTTAATTAAATACTATCTATATCACTTTCCATAACATATGATCAATTATATGAATCTAATCAAATTTACATTAAAGTTTCAACCACAACATACAATGATTGTTTTGAAAGAATAACTAAACCAAAAAATATATATAAAAAAAAGAATTAGTATATAACAAACTTACAAATTAAAAACTTTAACATAATAACATGGCTCGAAAAATGGTCCAAAGCCCTCAAACCAACACAAAACATTTAAACTTATTTTCTTTGTGAATTTTGTATGTGATTTGTATTTGTGTGTCTACTCAAAGAGAATGACATTTTTATAGTAGATTACCCATTAATTGCTAATTAAACATATTATATAAGTTATAAAACCTTTCATGATATGTGATTAATTAATTTGAAGGTGAAAAGGTGTGGGGGTTTCAAATGCATGAGGTGCTTGGAAATTTGTGTGGGGGTTTCAAATGCATGAGGTGATAGGAAAAATGCCTCCTTTATAAGTATAGTATGATATATATATATATAATATATATATATATATATATATATATATATATATATATATATATATATATATATATATACAAATGAGAACACCAAAAAGGTTGAGAACGTGAGAACAAATCTGAATCATTTAAATAATTAAATCAAAGGCTATTATCAAACAAGCAATTTATGTAAATTTTAAAAATTACAGGTATTAAAATGTAACTTTCAAATGTTGATAAGGGTATTATAGTACTTGCACCTTTAACATCGTTAGTTAATTCCTATAATTCCTCAATCACTCACATATTTCCTTTCATTTCCCGTCCTTCATCTCTCGCTGTAAACCCTGGCATGCCTTCATCGCCTCCATCTTCTGTGCAACACCATTTGTTCACCGTCATAATTACATCCCTATGCCACCATTCTTCACAACTACATCACTGATCTACCACCATCGCTTGCATCAGGTTTAACCATCAACCTCTATCATCATCTTCGATTCAAGATAAGTAGACCTGTGTTTCTTTGTGGCGATGATTGGATTCTGCTGGAAGAAAGGGGGTTTACCATCGTTTCTTGGGAGAAAAACTTCCGCTATCTCCATCAGAAGGCAGTTGCATCACCATACCTAAATCACCATCTTTCTCATAAAATTAGGGCTTTTATCGATTGGCCACACAATCAAGAGATCGAATGATAGTCTCCCCACCACTAACATTCTCCACTACCTCATATCTTCTAATCAGTTATGTAGAGAAACAACAATGGCGGAAAATATAAGAAATGGCCATCATTCACTGTTAAAAGGAGGAAGAAGAAGTGATAAATACTACAACATTGGTTTCTTATCATCTAAAATCCAGTCAATGGATATCATTTGGGAAGCCGTTTTTCCACTGCCTAACCCTAATTAATCTCTTTGTTCCTTCTATTCGGCCACTAGAAGCATGTTGGCAGTGATGTGGTTGTGTTGCGTCGTTATTGGGGCGGCGCAAGGATCCAAGGGCAGACCTGGTGGTCGAAACTTTTGTTGTGTCCCTTCTGGATCTTTAATGCCCTAACCCTCAACATAGAAACAAAACACGCTTGTATCTGGGCAATTTTTGATTACTGTATGGTATATTTCTTAAACCTTTTAAATTGAATTCATTATTAGCAAAGAATCTTTAATTAAGCAGTGTGATTATTGTTTCATTAGTGATTGATTTGTATGGCATACAAAAAATGTTTTTTATGTTCATTTGTGATTGCTAAGTTATTGTTTATATGGTACAATTCCCTTTATGATGCAATTTTATTGTTGAATCATTGTTATTTTTGTTTATACGAGTCTTTTGTATTAATTGTTGCTATTTTTGTTTTATTTAATGACTAATAACATATTTTAAATGAGCCTTTTTTTAGTAATTGTTGTTTTTTTGTATTTGTAAGTGAGCCTTCATATTCATTTATGATTATTTATCATAATAACTAAATACATATTTTAAAGACCAAAACAGTGCTTACATGATCATTACTTTTTGATTACTTGATCATAAGAACTGATACATATAAGACCAAAATTATATTTACAATTTTACATTAGAAAAATAATTATTTTATTCACTTATGATTACATGATCATTAATTTTAGTGTACAATAGTATTTTGTAAATTTTACTCTATAGTTATATATTCATTTATGAATATAACTAAACTATAAGAATTCAGATGCAATTTATATTTTATTCATGTGTATTTATTTATGATTAGACGCCTACCATTTATGATTACAGGTACATTCTGTTAATGTTAATGTAATTTAATTTTTCCAAATTTTGTTTATTTTAGTTAATGGTATTGATATTTATTTTGAATTTATAAATGTCCACAGAAAATCAAGATCAAAATTTTGAATGCAATGTCGGAGTACAAATATGAAAGAAAACGCTACAAAGTGGAAAAGATCACGAATTCTTCAATTATGATTAGAATAATACTTAGTTATTATATTCTTTTTTTTTAAATTTATTTATGATTATAGAAAAATAGCAAATTAATTGTATTTTGTTTCTTTTTTGTATTTTTCCTTTATGAATAAAGGTGTATTCCATGTAATTTGTTTTTTTATTTATTTATGATTATAATTTTATTGATTTTTTATTTGTAAGTTATTTATAATTCATTTAGAATTATCATTGTATTCATATGTGATTATAATAGTGGTTGAAACAAATAAAACAAAAAAATATTAACTTATTAATTTTCCAATCATTGGTATGTTCCGATAAAAAATAAAAAGCAATATTGTAATATGATGGGTTTTAAATTTCTGATAAATTAATAAAATAAATCGGTGCATTTTTAGTTTTTAACGAACTAAAAATCAATTAATAAGACAAATAAGGTAACTGAATTTATAATCCCAAAAATTTAGGAATCAATTAATTAGCCTTGACTTTTTCATATTTAAATATAATGTAAAATTTCATTTATACCCTTATATATTGATTGGTTTATAACTGTTCTCACGTTCTCATCCTTTTTGGTGTTCTTATTTGATCCTCACCCTAGATATATATATATATATATAGATATATATATAGATATATATAGATATAGATATATATAGATTGAGAGAGAGAGAGAGAGAGAAAAGTGAACATACCCTTACAGATTCGTCATTTATATTTTCCAAAAAAAGAAATTAAAAAAAAATTACCATTTTTTTGAAATATCTGTGAAATATTCTACTAGAATATTAGAATATTCTACATATCTGACAATTCTAGTAGAATATTAGAATATTCTAACATTCTAAAAATCACATTAGAATATTTACAGTGTAATATTCTATTAAAATATTTCACGTATTTAAAAAAAAACGGTAATTTTTTTCGAATTTTTCCTTTTATTTTGCATTTTAAAATTATTTTCAGATTGCGTCTCACGGTCTCACAAAATTAGCATGGTCTCAAATGAACTTAAACCTATATATATATATATATATATATATATATATATATATATATATATATATATATATATATATATATAAGGTGAGGTTCAATAGAACCATTATTAACCATACACTACTAGAAAACTAAGTAATTACCTATGGTAGTATTTGTAGGAAATCCGTAGGAACAATGCGTTACCTACGATTTCCTACAAAAAACGGGTTGTAGGAAAAACCCTCGTGGGTCATTTTTCCTTACAAATTACCTACAAACCTTCCTACGCATTTCCTACAGAATATTCTGTTACAAATTTATCTATGGATGTACTTCCATCACGATTCCGTAGCTATTTTGTAGCTAATTACCAACAGAATACATACAGGCTGACGTTCGTTGCTATTCTGTAGCTACTCAGTAGCTATTCCGTTACTAAATTAGGGCATCCAATTCCGTCGGTATTTTGTAGGTATTACGTAGGTAATTACCTACGAAAATTTCCCGTCGCTATTTTCTATAGCAAAACCCATTGTTTTCTAGTAGTGATGGAACCAATGAATCAGTTTTTTTCAACTTTTAGAGCTTATTTTTTATCAATAAAAAAAACTAAAAATATAGAAAAATCATAACTTTTTATCATTTTTCCAATAATATCAAATTCGATAAAAAATCTGCCAAATTCACACGGTGAAATCGAAAAATATATAATTTATCTTTTAGCATTCACAATGTGAAGTTATTAATTTAGATATTTTTAGTTTTTTTCGATAAAAAATAAGCTTTACAACTTGAAAAGTATTTGGTTCCTTTGAGAACCATTTATAATGGTGTTCTATTGAACTTTTATATTATATATCTATAATCTATATATATATATATATATATATATATATATATCTCGGTTAATAACAAACCCGTATACCAGACGGTTTGCAAATTAAAATAAGTTAGATAATAATAAAAACATCTTCTTTAATTATAAATTTGCACACAAATATTTATATATAATAATGGATGTGTGTTGGTAAATTTATAATTAATATCTGAAATGGTTCAAAAATATAAGGAGTGTTCATGATGAACTAACGTTAAAATATCATGATCTACAATGAAACATTAAAATTTTATAGATACAAGATAACAACAATAATCATATTTGATAGTACTATCTAGTTGTATAAAAAATCCCAAAAAATAAGGTAATATAAAGGAATGGTATCTACACATACAGAAAAAAAAAGTTGCAACTCAAAAATGAAGAATATATATATATATATATATATATATATATATATATATTTATATATATATAATATATATATATATATATATATTATATATCTATATATATAATATGGGGGTTAAAGGATGGTTAACCGAACAAATTATGTTTCAAAAGGTTACTGAAATGAATGATTTACTAATTTTTTGAACCTAAAACTAAATCAAAAAACTAGTTTTTTGTTTAATTAGATTTATTGGTTCGCTTATAGGTTAACCAATTAATCATTTCCTACCTAATACTATATATATATATATATATATATATATATATATATATATATATATATATATATATATATATATATTTTGTTTGTGTAAAAGATCATACATGAACCAAAAAATTAATGAGTAGCTAAATGAATAAACACAAAAAAAATGGCAAGAGAAATTGATTATCAATAGAGGTGCTATGGCAGGGATATTTTATTGGGTTAATTGGAGAAATTGATTATAAGGACAAACATTTTTAAGCACTTACCTTTGAAGATCCTTAAGCTTGGACAACTTCAGCCTAATGGTAGGACATATGGTTAAATCCCAAGATTGCCCATTAATCTTCTGTCTATAAAGCCTCTCCATCACATAAATTCGAATTTCTTCTAACATGGTGATTAGTGGTCTCTTCCTGGCAACTTCAATCACAGAGTTGAAACTCTCAGATATACCATTTTCATATGCATCACAAGCCCTATCAGTCTGAAAAAATGCTTTACTCCAAGTTTTAGGGTCCCTTTCCATCAAATGGTCATAAGCTAGTGGCTCGAATTTCTTGATTTCATTAATGTGTTGTTCAAATTTTGCAGGGGTAGTAGCTGCAGCAGCATACCAGAAAAGCTTTCTAAACAGTTGGCCCTTAAACCTTTTCATGAAGTTAGCACATATGTGCCTAGCACATTGCCTATGCTCTGCTGCTGGGACCCTTTCCTTCACAGCCTCAAGTAATCCTTGTTAGCAATAGACACAAAACTTAAACAACAAAAACATAACATAAGCTAAAATAAAGATGGAAATAATAGAAATTGATTACTTTGTGTTGGTCTGATATCAAGGTTAGTCCATGCCCAACTCCCATTCCAAGGTCCTCAATTAGAAGGTCAATAAACCACTTCCATGTTTCTTTACTTTCCACTGATACAACAGCCCAAGCAATGGGATATATATGGTTATTTGCATCTCTACCTATAGCAGAGAGCAACTGACCTCTGCATATGCCCTTTAGGAAGCAACCATCTAGTCCAATTACCCTCCTACAACCTTCAATCCATCCATCCTTCAATCCCTTGAAACATACATAAAACTTTGAGAAATATGTGGTTCCATCAGGCATGACATCTACATCCATCTTCACTGTTGATCCAGGGTTAGTCCTTCTTATCTCTTCTCCATAGCTCCATGTTTTTGCATAATGCTCTTTCAAAGTACCCTCTATCTCCTGAAATGCATACTTCCTTGCATTTCTGCATTGACCAACACTTGCAATCAAATTAAATTTCTTGCTGACTTTAGCTTTCAACTTCCTTATACTCATCTTTGGTTTCTGAAGTATATGATTCATGAAATGCTTTGCTATCCATTTATAGGTAACAATGGACCCAAATTTGAACACTCTTGCACAATTATGCATATCATTTAGAGATTTAATCTGAATTGATTTTTCACTGCTCATCCAGGTTGCCCACAACATAAAGGGACAACCTTTACCCTGTTTATTTGTCTTACCTTTACAACATTTTACCAATAACCTTTCATGATCACTTTTCTCATACCATAAATCATATCCATTTTTGACTGCATAGTTGGTGATACACAACTTCAATTCCAATGGATTAGAAAACTTCATACCCAAAACTGGCACCATTTGCTCCCATTCTTGATTCTCATTATGGACAGGGAACACAACATCCTTAAGCTTCCCATTGTTTGCTTCCTCTTCATCATCATCACTAATATGCCCTAAAAGTTTGTCCAAGAATGGGTCTCCAACAGTTTTATCAAAAGTATGTTCCTCTTCATCATCCCATTCATGTTCATATTCCATTGTCATTGAAACTTCAGAATCCTTGTCATCCTCTTCATCCATATAATCCGACTCATACCCTTTACCATCTGCTAATAACTCGTTATCAGCCCAATCAAGAATTGGTTCATTTTGGTGGTCAATGTACACATCTAACTCACTCTGAAGACTATCACTCTCCAGACTATAAACAATTTCCACAAACTCCTAATAATCAGCATCACTGTCGATTCTTCTAATACCCTCACACAAGCTTTCCTTTCTCATACAGTAGTAGACATTATCACAGGCTCCATTGGTTAATTTCGTAAGCCACAAAAGAAACTCTTTATACGTAAATCCCCCAAAATCCACATCACGTACATTTGTTTTTACGGGGTCTAAGTACACCAATGGGTTTGGCGAAAAGAATCCATTGTAATGAAAATCTATAGATACATACATACATGTAGATGAGGATGCCATGCTAGCAGTCGACTTCAATTCCATCTTCAATTTCAAGCCCTAATCGTCGATTTGATGTATCGATTGATTTCTCACAGAAGAAGGTAATCGAGGTGTGTTAGCTGACGATGACGAACCCTAATTAAATGAGAAAGGGGTGTAATGGCCACGTAAGATTCCACGTAATGTTTTCAACCCAGCTAAATCAATGTTACCGGCTAAAACAGGTAATAGCCGGTAATGTTGGTTATTTTTGAACGGATGAAAAAAGTTAATTGGGTAAATGAGTACAAAAAAAACAATATTACCCATATGTGAACATTTGAAATACTTAATTACCTTAATAAGTCAAATTCCCTTATATTTATCACATTTATTAAGTATTATATGAACTTTAATAAAATGTAAAAAAACCACAAAATGAAACATGGATATATTGCAATCTAAATTTACCACAAAATGACATATGGTATAATGCATAAGAGGATGACAAGTGGCAAAATTATTTTCATTCATTAGGGAGGATTCTTCCATATATTGATTGACCTTGAATAGAGTAGATGTGTTACAACATGGTACAACAAGTGTGTAGTGGTAAGTAGTACTTATATTTAATTAATGTGTTTGCGGTTGGTAAGCGGTACATCTCTTTACTGTGCTGCCCTGTAATCAAAATAACTTCTAGATTCGAGGTTCATATGCAAATTGAAGACCTCTCCTAAAAAATTGTTGCAATCATTGTTATAGTATATAAATGGCGTAACATAATCATATGTGCATACTTATGAGATATTGTAATACAAAAATAACGATGCACTGTTCTGACCTTGGAAACTTGTTAATTAAATTCATTAATTTCACCTCAGTGCATGTTATATCCAATAGGTCTAATGGTTGAAACAACCCATGGTGCTATTGTCGAGTTATTGTGGCATTGAGACATATCACACTCTACCACGATTCTTGTCTTGCTCTATATGCTCACCCAATATATTTCATTTGCTATGTTGGTGATTTTAGTGTTATCAACATATTTTACTATAGTTAGTATTAATATCGAGATATAGTTAGTTCAATTTACTTACCAAGACTGAAGGTGTGTGGGTACACACTCGGAATGATAAATGTTGACTCAAGAATACGGAGGTCAGGGACAGCGCCCTATAACCGCCAAAATGTATTTTCCCTTAAAAACCTTATTTTTACATAATTATTAATGGAAGAAGTTTTCTCCTTATAACTGCCATCTTCCATGTATAAAAGGAAGATGGACGTTGCTTGCAGGGGTTAGAACATACAATAACCAAAAATGGATTTTCTCTGCAACTTTATATCTTTCTAAAAATACAAAAAAGCAAGGTATATTCTATGTTTCATATTTGAAAGAAGTGTGATTCCAAATCGATTATTCTTGAATTATCCCAAATTAGATTTCGTGATCCCCCATGCAATAGGGTATAAATCACATATTTTAGAAAGTGTATATTAAACACGGTCCTAGAATCATCCAAGTTAATTGATATTCCAAATCCCTAAATCTAACATGTTATTCGTTGGTAAGTTTTATATACTACTGATTTCCCACCAATTTCACTTCAATGGAACTCTTGAAATAGGTATGGAAACCATGGGGAGGTTCGAGGAAGAACTAACTAACGTTAGTTTAAGAGTCGATCGTGCTCAATGTTAAACCCTTTTGGGGGAGGTTGTACCTTATAGTATATGCTGACAAATTAACTTTAACTCGTGGTCATATAACTGTTTTTACAATAAGCCATCCCATTTGAGTATTGAAGGTACCAAAAGGGTATCCAAGTGTAATGTTGTTCCCTTCCCTCACATCATATCAACATCATTTTTGTCCTTCCCGATTCTATATTAAATTTTGAAATTCTAACCCAATAACTTGGATAGCTATGCTTATGCTTCATGGTAACTGTTCGCTGCTCTAGTAGATACTTTAATATTTTCTTAGTACGGACCATGAACCTCCTTCCAAAAAGATACAAACACTACTTTTAAATGGAGGACACTATCTCTGTCAGCTCCTATCTGTTGACCGATTTAAGGAGAACCTTGTTGCCTAGGTCCAGACTATAGTAAGTTAGCGGTCTCTCTTCATGATTTAATTTCTCCCCTAACTCGTTCCTAAATGCATCAATAAATTCCATGCATCCTTCATCCAAATGAAATCATCCTTCTCCGACTCCTCCGTTAATGGTCATGTAGTTTTCCCATACCCTTGCACGAACTTCTTATAATAGTCGATTAGTCCCAAAAATCCCCGGAGTTCTGGCAACATTTTTGGAACATGTCATTCCAACATTGTTTTGATTTTAGATGGGTCGGCTGCCACCCCATCTCCTGAAACATTATGTCTCAAATACCCTATCTTGCCTTCTTTAGAAAAACACTTCCTTATTCATCAAGGACTAGAATATAACAGGCATATTGGTTAGTCAAAAAGGCATAACTATGAACTCGTAGTGACCCTTTTGAATCTAAAAAGCGATTTTTGTTGTATCTTCTCCTTTCTATCATATTTAATGGTAGCCAATTTTTAGATCTAACTTCGAAAACATAGTGGCTCCATGTAGTTCATCCAACAATTCGTCAATTATGAGGATTGGGAATTTGTCGAGTATTTTAGCTTTATTTAAGGCCTTCTAATATATTAAAACCCACCAAATTCCATCTTTTTTCTTAACTAAGAGTATTAGGATGGAAAAACGGGTTGGTAGTGGGTTATATCATGCCTACTTACAACATCTCTTGTACCATCCTTTTAGTTTTATCTTTTTTGCATGCGCTAGCAATACGACATACATGGGGCCAAACCTTCCCAAATGACGATGTCATACTCATGACTTTGATGAAGAGTTAGGGAAAATCTAACAAATATTTAAAGCTCGCAATCAAATCCTAGATAGTTTCTAATTCCTTGATGCGGACGGTGGTTTACCATTCTATTGTGTTCATCTATACAAAAAAAACTTCATATACTTGTTGAAATACACAGAACTGTGATTTGCAAGAGAATACATTCTTGGATAAGCTTGGATATCCCTAAATAGTGACTTGTCGGTCACCCTCCCCAAACGTCGTGTTGAGTTCCTTCTGGTTCATATACATGTCTCCTAGTGTTTAAGACTATTTAATTCCTAGATAATATCACATAAATTCTACCTAACTCATTCAGGAAGAAGTCTTCTATCGCTTGTAATTTAGGTAGTGTAAGAACCATCCCTTTGTATATGCATTGATTTTTATCCATTATCTTCTTACCAAACATCACCTCAACCGACCCTCCGTAACCTCTGTCCCTAAACTTCCAACCACTTGTTGTGATAAAAAGCTATGGTTCACCGCGTTATAAATAAAAATGACCACTTCGAGACCCGCCAATGTCCCTACACAGTTTAATAGTGATTGGCAAAATGAGTCTTATGATTAACTTTAAGGAAGCCTCTATCATATCTAAGTAAACATGCTCCATATTAATGGTTCTTCCTCCTTTAATTCATCCTCGTCCCTTACCAACAATACTGGTAATATTTTGCCAGTGCAACAGTTGCCCGGTGTGAACTTTACATCGCACTTTAAGCACAACCCTTTAGCCTTTTTGGACTCTATTAATCTTTCAAATGACCCTTGTTCGCCTATCGTCCCTCCCCGACTTCTCTTATAAGTGGTTAATATGAAGCCTTGAGTATTAGATTAATAATAAAATATATTATAATTACTTAAGATATTGGTTTTTTGTGGTGTTTTAAAATGTCTTCAACTCTTTAAAATATGGTTTGATTGTGTTTTAACTTTTAACATAAGTTATTGAAATTTGACATTTTTAAGATGTTAATTGTTAAGTACTTAATTTATTAGTTCGTTAAGGTTTTAAGTTATTGTCTTGTATCTTATTGATTTTTATATTATTAACTCTTAGAACTGCAAAAAGTACCAAATCCAGGTGGTTAAAAACCACACCAAACCCATGTTGTTAAAAACAACAATCGCATGAAACCGAACCGAAAAAAATAGCCACATAATCGCACTGCTACATTAATCGCACCATTCAGTTTCTATAATTTAATAACCGCATTTATGGATAGGGTTTAGGTTTGGCCAATAACCACACCATGCTCACCCCTACCTATTGACACAATTTTCATCTAGCATTATCACTTGCTAGTCTCATCATGTGTGTCACTTCCTCGGTTTGTATTACCCTCATCGATGAACTTAGTTTTGGTGTTAGCCCCTTTATAGCATCCCCTCTGGAACTTTTTCATGCAACCCCTTTAACTGTCCGGTCATTTTCTCGAACATTCTTACATAATCTTAGGTTGTCATGTCTTGATGGATATCTAAGAACTATTCATGTAGGCTTCACTTGTATGATTGTTGAAACTTGTCTAGTATTAATCGCTTCATCCTTTCCCACGTCTGAAACAATGACCACATTCGCTCTAATGATACCGCCATAAAGTTGCTCTCCCCATGCTCATGACCCTTAGTAGTTTGCTTTCTTCAATGCCTTTGATTTCAAAAAGAACAATATATGCGGTAAATTCACATGTATGCATCCTCTCCGTCAAATGTTAGTATTTTCAACTTTTTTTACTCGGTCCCAGGAAACCAGCTCATGTTTTCATCCTACTCTTAATCAAGCTCATGCTTACATGCTCATCTTCCTGCACTTTCTTAATCGATCTTATGTTTGCATTTTAAATTAAAAAAAAATAAAAAAAATACAAGAAAATGGCAGGTGCAAGCCCGGTTTTGAGCAAAGGCAAAAGGGGCATGTGCACAGGGCCCATTTTTTTAAGAAGCCCAATTTTTTTTATATAATTAATATATTGTGTATATGTATATATATATATCTTTTTACGTACTAATGTAAGCAAATTACTTGTAGTTCAAACTGTTGGTGGTGTGCCTTTATTTCAATCACTTTTAAACCACCAGGGTTCGATTCCATTTCAAGTGCTTTCTTTTAAATTTTAATTAATTAACTAGTATATATATATATATATATATATATATAT